TACATAAGTATAAGAGGAGACAGAATTTTACCGCGAATTCGAGGAAGTATCTTTCTCTTCTACCAGTAGGCACACAGCTCCAACTGTAATATGGCCCATCAAACTTGTTTGTGAAACATTTAGTGATCTTCCGGGTCAACTTTCCATTGTCCTTACCAAACCTACAATCACATAAACCAGTTAGCTTTGATACCATCCATAATCTATAAACAAGTAGACTCTACTTAAGTTATACAAACATACTCTAACTCAAATTATACAAGCTAAGCAGACTCTACTTAAGTTATACAAGCAGACCAATAAAGCTAATACTATATACTAACAGACTCTAACTCAAACTATACAAGCAGACCAATACAAACATAATCTATATACTAACAGACTCTAACTCAAACTATACAAGCAGACCAATATATAAACTAACTCTTAACAAGCAGACCTATATACAAGCAAACCTAACAGACTATAAGACCAAAACATGCAGACCAATAAGAAGACTCTACTTAAGTATTGAAAATGTTTACCAAGCTAACCTATTTACCTAATCTATATCAATCAGACCTATATACAATCAAAATTAAAAATGTTTACCAAGTGGTTTCAGGCTCGAGGTTGGGAGAGATGACGGTGGTGTACTTCTCACGGCCTGGGATGAGAAGTGTAGCATGTAAATCCGCGAGGACATCTTCTGGGAGTGTTGAATCCCTCAACACATCTTCTTCAGATTCACCATCAGCTTCCTCATCTTCAGATTCCTCGTGTGAGTTTTGAGCATGAGAACTATGATGCGATACAGAGGCTCGAGGTTGAGGAGAAGGTCTTTGTTGACGAGATGGTATTTGTCGATTCGACACTGCAGGCTGAGTCGACGCTGGAGGTTGAACCGGCGCAGGAGGTTGAACCGGCGCAGGAGGTTGATTCGACCGAGAAGCTAGACGATGAATAGATCCTACAGAGCCTCGTCCTTGAACAGATCCAGACCCTCGAACTTGAGTAGATCCAGATGCCCGAAATGGATACGACCCAGAGCCTCGAGGAGAATCATCGCCGGACTGGAACAGCTGCGTCGGAGGAGGATAGTCTCTATGAGTCGGAGGCTGAGACTCTAGGGCTACAGGATTTACCGGACTTTGCTGAGTCTCTGGGGCTTCAGGATTTGCCGGAGTGAAGGTATACTGGCTAGGAAGAGTACTGGGTCTTCGATTTGACGTCCCAGAAGCAGTGGGTCGATTTGGGGAAACCTTCGGAGCCCTTCCTCCTCCTCTTCCTCTCTTACTTTTTCCACCACGAGGAGCCATCGAGAGAGATTAGGGTTTTCTGCGAAGGGAAAACGAGATATATACTTGGGCTTATGGACTAATGTTATTGGGTCGTTGGGCTTCTTGGCCCAATTTGAATGTCCAACTAGAATTACGCAGTCGCTAATTCGTAGCCACTGAGTCGCTCCAGTTGGCGACTAAATATTCGGTAACTAATCGGTCGCCATATTTAGCGACTATATAACGACAATATAAATCAGTCTCATATTAGATACTAATTAGCGACTATCGTATTTTGGTTCATATTTAGTCGCCAAAACGTAGCTAAACGGTCACTAGCTGTAGCGACTGCAAAATTAGTCGCCGAATTAAGTCGCTAAATCCATGTTTTCTTGTAGTGTACAACTTTTTATTTAGTGTTCATTATACTTTTTTTTATTAACATGCACAAATAACTTTTCATAATGGCATAGAGTTAATGGGTGTAGTTTTGGAAATGGATATGGATTATGATTTAGATGTGGTAAAGATTAACCTAGGTGATATTAATGTGTCTTCTTGTGTTCATACTCATCTTTGGCCGGTACTGTTTCCGTATATATGGTACTGTTTTTGTTACTGCAAAGTTGTCGTCCTTGAATCCGCCGGGGTTGGTGCGTCTGACTCGTTGCCTCCGGTCGACAGCAAGTTCCGATGGTTTCCTTGTTTTTGTAACTGTACCTGCAAATTGTAAGGCCATTGGTCCAAGCCCATTACTGGGTTAATTAATATAAGTGTTAAATATATATATGGTATATTTATATGGTATTGCATGTTACTTATAACATTTATATTAACACTAGAGAACCGAACCCGAACGGGTACCCGAATGCCCACGCCTATTGTAAACTAGAGAAGCAAAGACCAAAAAAAGTGGATCTACGAACCACGTTAATTCTTTTTCGTACACTCTCACCACATCTTGATTCTTGGAGATCCCAAGAACTTGAAATCTCTCCATAATCCTCTTACATGTTACTTATAACATTGGAACATACGAAAAGAACACAAGTAAGTATGCAATACCATATTAATGGGTACCCGTTCGGGTTCGGTTCTTTTTTTTCGGGTAGGAAGTTGAGAACCATTCGGGTATTCTAAAAATTCGGTTCGGTTTCGGTTCGGGTTCGGGTCGGTTCGGTTATTTTAGTAAAAATGCAAAAATAACCAAAAATACCCAAAATATTTTCGGGTTCGGGTCGGGTTCGGGTTTTTTACTCATATAATACCCAAATCTAACCGAAATACCCGATTACCCAAAAATATATTGGTTACTTTTTATCCAAATATAACCAAATGTAACCAAAATACTTAAATTACCTAAAAGAAAACTACAACATTGGTTACTTTTATCCCAAATATATCCAAACTAGATAAATTACCCGCACTATGTGCGGGATGAAATGACAATTAAAGAAGTGCATTGTAGTTTTAGTTATAAAAATTATTGTATTATTATCCGGAATCTAAAATCTGTTAGTGTATTATGAAACATGTTAAAAAAACGTTTTATATTCCAATCATTAATTTTTCGTATCGGAATTCGTTTTACCCGTAAAATAATTAAAGACGACAATTTTTTTTCTAACGTAACTTAAATAACAAACACATATACATCTTTGTAAAAGAGTTTATGAAGATTTACAAAATTTAGATTGCTCGAAAACTAAGAAGATGTGTGTTTGGTAAATTTGAGAGGATGAAGATGATATCAGGGAATATCCGATCGCTAGGAAGAAGCAAGCCTATTCCCATATTTATAGAGAAATATTTTTGTAGGGTTCCGTTTAATTTTTGAAATTTGGATTGTCTTCAAAATTTGAAAAATTAATTTATTGTTGATTTTATGATAGATTTAGTTTTGAGAATTAATTTTATAAATGTAGTTTGGATTTATGAACCTAGGAAAATTTGTACTTACAAAAGTTATAAAAATATATTCTAATATATTAATTTACATGAATTATAGGCTTACATGTTTGAGTTGTTAAATATATCTATATATATATATATATATATATGTTAGTCTGGATTTAAAAATATAGACCTTAGATCAATTTAATATATATACATATACACGAATTCTTTATGTATAGATAGAGATATGATGTTTGTATTACTGATGTTTAATGTTAATTAACGAAATAATTAGAATATCATGGCACATTTGTAACTAATCTAGTAATATATAGACCATTAGTTTACTCGATTTATGAAATAGAAAATGTCTGTTTGACTTTAAGTTTAAGCTTGGACGTAGCATGTCTTAAATTTTAATATTAGATAATACAGATTTGTTATTTGTTATGCATATATAGAAAAAATGTAACATTTGTTATGTGTTTGCTAATATAAAAATAATAAAGTTTGTCTCGTATACATTGTGTGTTTTTTTAATTTTTAATTAGAAATTCGTTTTTGATTAGTGGGATATATGGATATATGAGACTAATGGCAAATTCTGTAAATAGTCTAATAAATCTTGGGTAATTATCTAAATAGAAGCCAAATCATTGTAAGAGCGACACATCAACGTGACAATCTTGTTAATAACACATGATGGTAAGGTTTTCTTAAAAAAATGTTTCTCTATTAATATATAGGGGATGTATATGAATTACTAAAAAAATCTAGTATATTTGGATTTATAATTTTAGTTTTGGGTATTTAAGGTATTACAAATATATATATATATATATATATATATATATATATATATAACTAATATTTTTAGGTTTACATTTGAATTCGGGTACCCATGGGTATTAGATTCGGTTCGGGTTTTTTCGGGTAGTGAGGTCTAGGTTCCATTCGGGTAATTCTAAAAATCGGGTTCGGGTTCGGTTCGGTTATTTTTCGGGTTTTTCGGTTCGGGTATTCGGTTCCGGGTATTATGCCCATGCCTAGTTTACATGATGGCATGAGAACTTAATTGTAACCCCAAAATTGAATCCAAATCTTATAACTAATGGGCTTGGAATAGCATTGCTACTAATTTTTGAAAGTTTGAAGATTAAAGAAATGGTCTTCTTATCATAAGAGTTTTTTACTCATGAGTCTAATATACCATTGTCTTTAGAGAAATACATTAGAAACAAAAACAAGTTAACTAAAAAAAAAAGTTAACTAAAAAAAAGTCATATACGCAAGTTGAACCAAGTGACTTGCTGGGTTGTTTTTCCCAAAACAAGAGGAATATTCCTTCCTTTGAAAGTAACATTATTATTAAAAGAATCGGGATATTAAAAACAAAAAAAATATATATTGTAAGTCGATGATTGGATCAATGTTTTAGAACTTACAAAAAAAACCTTTTAGTAAGTTAAGCATAATGCATACTATGTTTTATGACAGAAATTAATTTAATATTAATGTAAACTTAGAAATAGTTAATTTTGATAATACTTTCATAATGTAAAAAACCAAATTAAAGTAGGATCATGAAATTTGCTAAAAGTGGAAACATATATATACAACGCTTCCTACTTAAGCCACGTAGATCCGTATTTGTCGGATCGGGTCACAAGATCCGAGTAAAACGGGTCTCTCTCTCTATCCCCCACTCTCCCTCTCACGCGACCTGTTTACTTCAATCTCAATTATGCTCTCTCTCTCCCTCTCTCTATTAAACTCTCAACTCTCAAAATTTGCGTACAAGCAAATGCAGTTTTGTTTCGAGTTTGGATTACACAAAGGCAAGTATCTTCTCCTTTCCGATTCATTTTCTCCCTCTGGGTCATTTCGATTCTCACAAATTAAAGACAAAGTTCGTCTCTTTTTGGGTCTCCTCGATGCACGATTAGAAAAAAAAAAGCTCAGATTTTGTTCGATTCCCTTCTTCATTTCTGCAATCCCTCACTTCATTTCTGTTGAATTTGAATTATTCGTTTTTTTACCCTATTTGATTTGTCTAGATGCTGACACAATTAGGTGAAAAAGTTATGATTTTTATTGCTTCCTAGATGTCGAAACAAAGATAAAGATTTGAAATTCAAAGTTTTTGTCTTTACTTATTGGCTATAATCGAGTCTCTGAAACGATAACAAAGTCTGTTTTTCTTTAGGTTTCTGATTGAAATCCAAAAATTCATGCTTTGGATTACGTTTTCTCTGCTTCCTTTCTTCTTTCTTATGCTGAGATTATAGAGTAAATTGTGTTCTATTGTCTTTAGCTTGTTCTATTCTATATCTATATAGAAAAAAACTCAAAATTTGTGTCAAAGTTATTAAATTTTTCTAGAGTGTTGAAGGATGTTGTGAAAGTACTCCTCTTTAGGATCAGAAGGGAATTATTTAGAAATGAAACTGTTAGAAGTTGTATTCAATGTGTGTTTTATATGTGCCTAGTTTTAATTTTCATTCTCTGGATCTACAGATTGGAATAGTCAATTGTCTTCACGAACAGAGGAGACATTGTCTCTTTGATTCTTGAGCTTATTTGGGGTAGAGAAAGAGAGAGGATCTGATGTGTGTCTCAATCTCGCAAGTCTCTAGATTCAGAATCCATTCATTTGGAAGTTCTTGCTGTGAACGTGTTCATGGCTGGATCAAGAACAGCTCAAGCTTGAAGCTGCTTGATGTTAGAGCTTCCTCGGTTGATGGTAAAGCAAGATGGATCAGGCGGAACGTGAGTACAACTACACAAGGTAGTAGAGGCAACATTAAGAGCAGTGTGTTGGGAGGAACAGTTCCTCTAACCAGGATTATAGATGAAGAGAGTAGAACCAAGGTACAGCCTTTTGGTAATCTTCAGCAACGGCTTGCGCAAGATAAAGATCTGCCTAAGCTCCTCACGGTTATTGTCTCTGATCTTGAGACAACTGGCTTGAATCGGAAGAGGGAGCGGATAATTGAAATTGCAGCTCAGGATTTAGCTGGTGGTGGGTACAGCACATTTCAGACTCTGGTTAACCCGGGTGATGTTCCTGTAACTAATACAGATATCCACGGAATCAGGACTGATATGGTCTGTCGACCCGAGGTTCCAAGGTATACATAGTCTTTAGATAAAATTGTATCATGTAGATTGTAGAGTTCTTTTTTTCCAGTTTATTTCTCTTTGAATCTCTGTGATTAGTTTGTTTATATGCTTGTGTGGCTTCCATTGGATCAAACTAATGAAGGGTTTGTGTTGGTAGGATGGAAGAGCTGATTCCGATATTTCTGCAGTATGTTGAGAGTCGACAGAAGCCTGGAGGTTATGTGATGTTAGTTGCACACAACGGCAAATCATTTGACTTCCGGTTTTTGATCAACGAGTTTAACCGTTGTTCTTATGAGATTCCTCATAATTGGTTGTTACTCGACTCGCTCCCACTCGGTAGAGAGCACATGAAGTCTTTAGGTAACATACTAAAATTCCTCTGCTTCTATTTCACTGAGATGCAAACTAAGCCTGAGTACTCTAAACCTAAACAGAACAAACATGTTTACTTGTTTTCATGTCAGAGACTTATAAACTAGAAATGGGTTATTCTTCATCTTTTTTTTGCAGACCCAACGGGTAAGCCAAAAGCATCGTTAAAAGTTCTTCAAGAACACTATAGTCTTACAAGGGAAGGTGACGCTCACAGAGCTTTGTCAGATGTGTTACTCTTATCTAAGGTGTTCCAGAAACTCACCATTGATCTCAAGCTCTCACTCTCTGATCTCGTCCTCCGCTGTCACACTGCATCCGATATCATTGCTGTCATGGCCAAGAACAAGAAGGCCTGAAACATTTTAGACATAGCTATAAGCTTCTTTTGGGATATGCATCTCTCATTCTATTGTTGATGTATCTAACTCTGCAATTATGTAACCAATTATTTAATTTGATCCTAAAATAAAATCAACTAGATTTGAACCCACCGCGGGGCTATAATTTTTTATAAAAAAATTAAATATAATTTGTTTTGTTTATTAATAGAGAGTATAATATATTATTTGTATTTTCTAAATGTACCATCCATATATCTATATTAATAGTTGTGAGTATATTAATTATGTTTTAGGTTTACTGGTATAAAATATAGTAATTTTGGATATATCCAGTAAACTGGCTAGTAAAAAATAACAACAGGATATATATATATTGTTTTTGTATAATGTATCATTAATATTTTGTTAATAATATTTTTAAATTATGTAATTGAAGTTAAATAATATTTGGTTTTCTCATTTTGTTAGTTTGTAAATTAAATAATATATCTCTTTAATATATATATAGTTTTGTTGTGCAATGAAAATATTAGGGGTGACAATTATGATTTGCATAATAGTTATAGTTATAACTCAATTTTTTAAAAACTTTGATTATTAAACTGAACCAATTTAATTTATTTATTTATTTATTTATAATTGGAAAAGAAAAGCATGTTGATCTTAAAAAAAAAAAACATACATGAAGACATATCTATAAAATTGAATTTTATGTTAAAAGGAAGAGAAAAGTTGTATGATGTCTACAAAAAAAATAAATGTATATCGTTGTCGGGACCGAGTTATCGTCTTCTGTCCTCCGAAACAATTTCACTCATCTTCTTCGAGAACCTAGGTCACAAATTCGTTGTCATAAGGAGATGAAGGTTCAATCGATTTCTTCATCTGATCAAACGAATAGATCACCGATACACCGATAGTTTGCTACGAATTTTTGATTTTTAATAGCTATCACCACTTTGCAAAAATTCTTTTCCTTTTCTCTTCTACTCTTCGAATCCAGCTCGTTTTATTGCTGATTCTTGTAATTTTATTGTCGATTAGAGCTGTGAATTGAAGATTTAATCACCAATCCCTTCCTTATTGTAAGTACCGCGATTTCTCCTCTTTGTCTCTCTCGCTTCAAACCGAAGATGCTTGATTGTAAGATTAAAGCGGAGGAGAAGGAGATTAATCAACCTCAAGAGTGCTCGACCTCCGATTGTTCTTTGCCGAGTCGGGTCTCCACCACCACCATCAACGGAACTTCTTCCAATTTGGGCCTGTTTCTGGACCTCTGACCTCTGATTTTCTGCAGCCTTTTCAATATTTTTCTTCAGAACTTTATCAAGATTAGACATGAACTCAACATGTTCTGCACACCCGGCTCTCTGGTGTGATATAACTTGTGGTTGGTTTGTAGATTGCTGGCTCATGGTATGTTCTGGTTCTACTATAGGAATAGCTTGCTCATTTTTATCATCAGTGTCTTCGTCAATGGCACTAAGATAGTAGTTTTGGTCTTCATCTGTTGCACTGTGATCTAAACTCTCATAGTTGATATCGTCCATGGTTTCATTATCAATACTTTCATCAATGAAGTCTTGTTCCATGGTTACAAAAGCTTGCCCTTGAATGTGTAAGAATTAGATATCAGAATGATTAGGTTAAGGCAATAGAATAGATAGTAATATTAATTCAAAACAATGCTACCTTGATTTAGAGGAGATGAGGTCGCATTTTCAAAATCTTTTTGTAGATTTTTTCTTGGAAAACTACCAACTTGAGTGGCATAAGTTGTTTGTTTCTGATTGCTTATGCATGATGAAGACACAGCAAATTGGTTGCCTTGCAAACGAATAAATAAAATTGTGTTAATATAAAAGCAGTTTAAAGCCTAAACCGAGATTCCAAGTATTTATATAGTTAGCATAAAAATTAACCTTTTGGTTTCTGAATTGTCCTAACATAAGGATGCAGCCGTGTGGATTCAGTAGAAGGAAACCGTGGATTAACATTGGTGATGTCTTTGAATGCATCTCTTGAAGATTTCTGCAAATGACTTGAGTTGGTATGGCATAGTGATGCAGCGTAGAATTAGGATAATTCCCATTTATTTATATTTTAATTATATTATTTATTTTAGTTTTTATCTTTTAGTGTTTCTAGAATATTCTAGGGTTTTCTTATGTTTTATTATAAATAAGCCGTTAAGGCCTCCTTTTGTAGACAGTGGATTAATTAATTAAATTAAAGAGCTTTTAGCTTTTCAGGGAAGAGTATTCTCTAATCCTTGTTTTCGGTAGATCTCGAGAGATCTCAACGATTATAAGAAGACGTAGGATTCGGTATTCGCGGAGAATCAACGAATTCCTCACGTTCTCTCGTTTCTGGTATTCTGAGAAATCAACAGATCCGAGAAACCCTAGTTTTCCAGTATTCCGAGGAATCAACGGATCTCTAGTTCTATCCTTAGAAGCTTCCGCTACGTCAGTTGGTATCAGAGCTCTGTCTCTTTGATTTCTCAATTGAAGAACGATTCTGGTGATCATGTTGAGTGGTAACTTTTATCCCTTTGCAGAAGAAAGTTTGTTTGAAGATGGTTACAGAGAAATCTACGGTGATCCTATCTACGATATCTATGAAGATGATGATGTCTTAGTTATTGATCATGTCGATTTTGTGTTCAGCGATGGTGCGTTCGAGAAAATCTGTGCAGAATTCGGGCAAGATACTCTTCGTGCAAAATCCGGGCGTAGTCAGATCTGTGCAAAATTCGGGTTTCCTGCAGAAATCATGAAAGATCAGATCTGTGCAAGTTTCGTACAAATTCCGGTCCGTGCAAATTTCGGGTCTGATCCAGTTCGTGCGAAAATCGGACCTGACGAGATTCGTGCAAAAATCGGGTGTGATAAGATCAATGCGAAAATCGTGCAGAAAGTACTTGGTGCGAATTTTGGGTATGATTCGTTTCATGAAGATTTTTGGAAAAAAATATTTCGTACAAATTTCGGGTCAGATCCAGTTCGTGCAAAAATCGGGCAGAATCAAAAGATGGAGATAAAGCTGAATCTTCGAAGATCTCCAATGCTGAAAACCCTGCTGAAGATTAGAGGTCGAATCTTTCTTGGGCGGCGAGAGCTGATACAGCGCAGTTACAAGATTCGAGGACGAATCTTTTCTTGGCCGGCGAGACCTGATGCAGCGTAGAATTAGGATAATTTCCATTTATTTCTATTTTAATTATATTATTTATTTTAGTTTTTATCTTTTATATTTCTAGAATATTCTAGGGGTTTCTTATGGTTTATTATAAATAAGCCGTTAAGGCCTCCTTTTGTAGACAGTGGATTAATTAATTAAATTAAAGAGCTTTTAGCTTTTTAGAGAAGAGTGTTCTCTAATCCTTGTTTTCGGTAGATCTCGAGAGATCTCAACGATTATAAGAAGACGTAGGATTCGGTATTCGCGGAGAATCAACGAATTCCTCACGTTCTCTCGTTTCTGGTATTCTGAGGAATCAACAGATCCGAGAAACCCTAGTTTTCCGGTATTCCGAGAATCAACGGATCTCTAGTTCTATCCTTATAAGCTTCCGCTACTTCACCTAGTGACGCCAGCCCAGAAAGAGGACTTATACCTGGTCATATAACAATGGTAAGTTGTTTGTTTTAAAAAGAAATTCTATAACATTATATAACATACTGTCACTGATAGAAGAGATTAATAATTTTAACAATAGTAGCGTTTATATACTAAGAAAAATAAGAGTAATAATGTTCCCGAAGATTACCTTTCGCTGTGTTAGTCATGTTTGCATAATAGACTTGTTGATTAGAGGATGGTGTCATAAAATTAACAAAGGAGGTATTACTGTTTGAAGTAATATCGTGTAAAACTCTAGAAAAAGCTGAAGTAAGAGGAACATATCCATTAGTAGTAGATCCATTAGCTTGAGTTATTCGACTCGGTGGAGTGTTGCTTTGAAGCAAACGTGTTCTCTTTGATGGATTAGAATTTGAAGTTTGACCAAGTCTTTCTTTATTGTGGCATGCATTTTTTTTTCCTGTAAATAATAATAGGTGAATTTATGTCTTAGTTGAGAAAATGAGAAGATTTCAACATAATTATAAAATGGTGATTAATATGTCAATTACCATTTCATCAGAGATGATAATCTCAAGAGTTTCACCAGTGCTTTGCATGTATTGACGCCAGGAATGCTTTGTAGGGACGCACATCTTTGAGGAAGGCAAAGGTAGAAGCCATTGCTATGAACTAAAGGTATTAAATTTCGGAGTAAGGAGGTTTTTGAGTTTGGTGAGAGGAATAGGTGAATAGTAGTGAGTATATATAGGAAAAAGAATTAGGTTACGTGAAGATTAATTTTTGGAATAATATCTTCATATATGTTATATTGTTAGGAATATACCATTTTTATGCCCGGTAAATTCCGTATATTTACGAAATTTCGATGGTGAATATATCTCTTGATTTCGTGTTAAATTTGGTATGTTAGAGATATCGCAATATTTATTCACAGTAGTTTAGATATATATGATAGGATTTGGAAATATATATTTTAGGAATAGTATTGGATTGATTGGAGGGATTTATTTTGTTGAATTAATTACGTTGGAAAAGAAGAAAGTTAGGAGATATGGAATTGTGATTACGTATAGTATTAGTTTTGTTAGGATGCTTATTTTATGCTTTCTAAGCAAATCGTTTGGGAGGAGATATTTTTGCAAGTTATGGTACAAAAGAATTATGTAAAACTGTTTTGGTAAGAGATATTAAAAGGATCCGTAAATGTGGATTAATTTAAGGAAATTAATTAATATTGAGTTTGTTTTGATTTCGTAAATTTGTTTTTATATTGGCTGAGTAATTAAATTCGAAATTTGATTTATCATTGATACCAAAATTTCCGGAAATATCCGATTGAGAAAACCGGGTCAAACGTTGTAAAAAAAAAACGATCCAACCAATGACATAAGTTGTAAATACTTCAAACTCCAGGATTTATTTACTAAAAGTGTTCCAAAAATGTATATATAGATAAGCCAAAACAACATATGTAACTTTATTTTTAAACCCAAGCCCAATATTTTTCAGGATTAAACCGGGCCATGGGCTTTGACCCTAATTGACATGCATATGTGGCTGATTCTTTGGTTCAAACTAGACATGGGCAAAAAGAAAAACGATAACCAAATAACCGACCAAACTGAACCTTATCCTAACCTTATCTGAACGTTATCCGAACCGAAAGTTCTTAAAATAACCGAATGGTTAGTAAAATCTCCTATCCAAACTAATCGAAACCGAACAGATATCCAAACGGTTAAGCGAAATATCCAACAACCTAGAAGATATTCAAAAATAATATCCAAAATTATAATTATAAACTCAAAATATTTCTAATTTTCCCTATTTTAGGAAAATTAGAAATAAAGGATGTTTTAATAGATAAATGTCCATATATACTTTTATATAAAAAGTTTGGTGAAATAGGTTTTTTAAAAATCAAAACCCAAGTTTACCCTCATATTTTCGAAAATATAATTAACAAAATTTTAAAAAAATTATTTCCTAGTTTATTTACATAATTCAGATACCCTCATTCTTTCGCCAGATTGACCTGTCTTCACTAATTTGGGTATAACTCTTGAATGCACCGTTAGATGTCCTTCAAACCACTTGGAAAATCAAGCTAACATCTTCATCTAGCTTGTGTCAAAAATTCAGAAAGATCTAACGGTGTGAAGTATTCCATCTGAGACTAAACGTATGAAACTTCTAAACGAAACTGCATCTCCAAAAGTGTGTTTATAACCCAAAACAGCTCGTTTTCCTCCAAAGCAACCTAAAACCTGTAAAGACTCGATAAAAGACTAAAATACTCTAAAAACACACTTTGACTCTATAAAACATATGATGTAGGAAAGAAAACAAAGACTCAAAACCGATAAAAACACAACATATCAACTTCCCTCATCGATAAACAATACACTAAATGAAAATTCCTACTTGGTAGGTTGAGACTATGGTGCTTACGTTTCTTTTTAAATTATGTTAAATTGGTCTTGGAACTTATGTTGTATATACTTAATTTAGTGATAAGTCAATCCGAAACTCAAAGCAAAACCACGAACATAAGAGTAGTAGGGATTCCAATTATGAGAACAAAAATTCAAACATAGAGTACTAGGAAATTCACATCTGAAATAAAAAATGCGAAAATAATCATGAAATGAGAAAGAAGTTCAAAATCCATATAGTGGTAACTAGAAACGTTCAATGAGAGCAGTTGAAACATAATCCTGAAAAAGATAAAGAAAACAATTATCAAAAAAAATATAAAAGTAGGGAATCTATACTTAAGTTTTAAACTAGTAGTCAGATCACGATCACAAACCTTATATTGCTACATCACATGTTACTCGATTATGACCTTCTTTACCACAACGGCCGCACTTATGCTTTTTTGATAATTGTGACTGTTGTGATGCTTTTATCTTGTCTTCAGCTCATTCATATCTTCGTTTTCTTCGTCTACCAGGTTGTTTTCTTGTTTCAGGTGGTAAAACTTTTGCAGATTCAACAACCTCTGGGACGTGCCATTCATCTTCAGGAACACCTATTGGATTAATAGTTTCCTCATATAATGATCTCCAAGTAGCAGTTGTATACACATCATCAGCATATGGGTATATACCAAATGACAAAACGTGGCACAGAACGGGGAAAAACAACGACAAATCTACCAAATTAGTCTAACCTTTCAACGTGGACTTAAAAGGAAGAGGTGAAAGAAGAAGACTTTGACGATTAAGGCTAAAAAACGATTTCACCCTCTAGATTTTCGTCTTTAATTTTTTTTTCATCTGAAAATATTAGAATACGTATTCTAACCATCCTCAGATCGTAATCTAAACAATAAAAACGTAATATTTAATAAATATTCAGTTTCCTTTTTGAAAGATTCACTTTCTATATTTAGGAATTCTAAAACTTTTCAGAAATTGAAATCTATATTATATTAGAAAACGGATTCTAAAATAATTATACGTTTTCTAACGTTTTTAGAACATGTTATAAATCGTAGAATAGATTTTCTGACTAAAATTAGAACATGAAGAAAAGCGTAGAATACATGTTCTAAGGATTTTTGGAAATTGTATTCCGGTCTTCTGAATTTGTTAGAACATGTATCTAATCTAAAAGTCGTAGAACATGTACAAAAATTTAGAATACAAACTCTGATTTTCGTAGAATATGTACAAAAGTTTAGAATATAAATTCTGATATTCGTAGAACGCTAGAAAACATATTCTAATAATTTTAGACGAAACTTTATCCATCAAAAAATCAACTTTTTTCAACTAAATCATCAATTTTTTTTTTTCAAATCATCTATAATCTTGTATATCAACATGTTTTTTTGGTAAAATCATTCAAAAAATGCTTAAATAGAGAGTAGGGGTATTTGAGTCCAAAGTGACATTCTAAAAAAAAAGTGTATATGGTCAAACTTTTTTTTAGAGCTCCTTTATTTCTAATTTTCCCTATTTTTAAACTCAAAACAATCAAATATTTTAATGAATCAACATATCCAAATGTTGTTAGTTATATTTTTTAAAGTTAAATACTCTTTTACAAAATTGAACCAAATTTTAATTTTCTTTAAAATTTTTGTTCTTTTTTGTATGTTGTTCGGTTAATTTTTGTAAGTTTCAGTTACATTTGGTTAATTTCGGTAAAAAATCGAACCAGTCTGAATCCGATAAAAATTCGATTAGTTACAGTTATCTATGTTAACATCCGACCCGAACCGAACTGAAAAGAAATCAAACCGAAATTCCAAAATATCTAAATGGTTATTATATTACCATATTCAAATTAACCAAAACCGAACGCAACCGAACCAAAACCGAATAGTTAACCAAATGTCCATGCCTAGTTCAAACTTCAAAGATGATGTTACCAGAAAATATTTCTTTTTAAATTTACTTTCTTCAAATTAAAGTAGAAACTACAAAATCTTGTATCTTTGAGTAGAAAATCTTGAGTTCAAATCCAAAGTAATAAAGTTTTGTTTCTATTGGGAAACAAAAACAGCCATAGAGGTCACGAGCTCAAGAAGCTGTTGCTTTTCATAGAGTAAACATGTGCACCAATCATAATCATTTTGTTTTTGACCACTTTAATAAATCCTGCGTACGTTAGCCTCTTCCCACTTCTCGTATCCTTAATCCTGCGCCGTTGTCTGCGCTCTTACCACTCCACACACGCACAGGCGGCGCGTGTAATCATCTCCGGTAAATCCGCCGCTCTCCTCCACTCTCCATCCGTCGTATCGTACAGCAACACAAGGCTTTCTCTCAGCCCTCTCTCACTCCTTCCACTTCGCCGGAGCAAATCGTCAATACATCCCACCACCTGAACCACCGCCACTTTATCTTCCACTCCGACGCAGCTAAACCTCACCGTTCCATCTAACCGCACTTGTGCCGGCAACGGGGGACTTTTCAGCCTCCGCCATTCCCCGAACCCGCTGTTTCCGCCTCGACGACGCGCGTCAAATCGCCAAAACGAAAGCTCCACCGCATGGCTGCTAAGCACGTACACATATCTAACCGCCGCACACGCCGCCACTACACATCCACCGCCAGGAACCGAACGACTCCTCAACCACTGACGCGATTCCACATCAAAAAGATCCATAGAGCTTGCATAAGCACGCGCCGCCACCGCGCGTGAAGTCTCGTTCCCAATTTTCAATCCACCAATCACATAAAAAACTCCGTCAACGGCTGCTCCAATGCAACCATATCTCTTCCTCGCCGATTGAGTCACAACTTTCCACCGATTTAACTCCGGATCATACTCTTCAACCGCCGCCGCAACTTCCGAACCACCACCACCTCCAGCAACATAGATCTTACCAGAAACCACCGCGATTGCGAATTTCTTCCTAGGAAAAAGCATCGGAGATCTCAAATTAAGCGTTCCCATCCACGAATCGTATCTCAAAACAGCATTTCTACTAACAACATAAACCCTAGGCCCAATCGCCGCCGCACGAGCATGAGATAAACTACCGTCAACACAAACAGACCTACTCGAAACCGCAAGAGACACTTTCCACGAAGCAATCTCAGACTGAAACTGCAAATCCGCAGCGAAAAGTCCTGAATCAACGGCGGAGATCGCGAAGAGAGAATGCCGGAGCAAGCCTAAACGACGACGGAGGTGGAGAAAGTAAGGAGAGAGGAGGAGACGAGACCAACGGCGGCAAACGGCGGCGAGAGAAGGAATTGAAGAGGAAGGGACTCTGGAGATACATTCGAGGAGCAAATCGTCAGGTAGAGAAGCGATTGTAGCTGAAGAATTGGCCGCCGTGGACGACGGTTGGTGGATCGGAACGAGTGATTTGGCGTCGGAGGGATTTGGTAAACAAGATTTCATGAGCCATGAGAAATGGCGAGAATTGCAGCTCTCTGACATCAGAATTATCTTCAGAGAACAAATTTAATTCTAAAATAAGGAAATAAAAATCTGTGTGTGAGTTAAGAAAGTAAAAGACTATACACTAAAAAATAATGAGATAATTAAGGCAGAGGTAATGATCTGGGCCGAAATTAGTTTTTGGTAATTTGCTGTCGGGGTTCGAGACAATGGTAACATTAGCCCATCATTCTCCCGATTTTAATCCCACGCGCTGCGAGAAACGGAACAGTTTTTTGTTTTTACCGAGGCGTCTATGCGTGTATATGTGGGGTTCATTCTTAATTGATTTCACTTTCTTTTGTATTCGACTGTTGCGTTTCTCTGTTCCTCTCTCGCTTTTTCTTCTTGGGTATTTAACCCTAAGTTTGATCATTTATCTTCTTCTTCTCTCATCGTTTTCTTTTTCTTCATCGTTTCTTCTGAATTTTAGCCAACCGTTCGTTGCGAACCGCCGGAGTTTTTGTTTCGCCGTTTGAAGTATCGAAGCGGTTTAATCTTACCGGCGAGTTTGTTTCCCATTTGGTTACAGTTTAAAGTCTTTGTTTTTCAAGTGATTTGTGCTTTCCGTTATACGCAATTTCTGAAATTTTCTAGATTTTGGGTTGGTTTAATCTTACCGGCGAGTTTGTTTCCCATTTGGTTACAGTTTAAAGTCTTTGTTTTTCAAGTGATTTGTGCTTTCCGTTATACGCAATAACACCATTTCTAGATTTTGGGTTTTATTCCGTTTCTTTCATGACTGTGTGGTTTTTTTTTTCCTTCTCCCCTTTTCGATTTTCTGACTAAATATCTACAGATCTATGTAGATCCGTATTTTGTATTATTTTGTTTTATACAGATCTATATTTTCTGATAGATCTATATTTTACTGTTACGAATTTTTATGAATCAAGCTTCCTCTGTCTTGGATATCCACCGATTCATGTAACTCTGTATTTATTCATGTGTATAGATCTTCCACATCTTACTATTATGTAGATATCCATATATTTATGTAGATATATCTATATTTCATATAGATCTATATTTGCATGTGTTTCTCTAATAGAGCTGTATTTATTATCTTCATTCTAACTTGATGTTTGTTTCCAAACTTACTCAGTTTTCCTTGTCTGCTCTTCAGGAATATGGCTGAGTTGGAACTGCCTACCCGATTGTTCGCTGATGGGGAGGAACCTGCTGGCGATAGAGTGAATATGTACTTCAAACTCAACACGATCAAGACGGTGCTGAAAGCACTTACGCCTGAAGAGATTGACACTATTAGGCCTTGTTTTGGGAAGCTTCTTGATGTTTACTCCAAACCTGTCTTCTCTGGCAAGTTGACACACTTTCTTTTGACCCGTCAACTTAATGTTGTCAAGCGGCACGAGATATGGGTTGTTTTTGCCGGTAAACCTGTCCGATTTTCTCTCAGGGAGTTTGGTTTGGTCACCGGCCTAAATTGTCAGCCTCTTCCAGCCCTGGATAGAGCTTTAACTAAGTGCCCTCCCGGGGTCACTCCGTACTGGTTCACTCTCTTTGGAGGGGAAGAATATTTCACCGGGGAGATGTTGTTGGGCAAGCTTCGGAGGGCTAAGGCACTGTCTAGTGAAGTGAGAGTTAAGTATGCGTGTTTGTTACTTGTTGATGGGTTTCTCTGTCGCAGATCTTTCCACATGAAAATACCTAAGGAGCATGTGGAGATGATTCGCGATCTAGATGTCTTTCTGAAATACCCTTGGGGACGTTATAGTTTCGATATGACAATGCAATGCATTAAGTCCAGATCCCTCAATCAATTAGCTCAAGCAACCGTTGCCATTCAAGGGTTTATCCATGCTCTTGTTCTGGTTTTGGTGGAAGCTGTCCCATCTGTTCTTTCAGCTGTTGGTGAAATAACTGACCCAGAGTCTGGGGATGAAGATGTTTTCCCTGTTATTTCGTTGAAACTTGATAAAGTCTGGGATCTCGACAAAGATACGAAGGTTGTGTAGAGCTCTATATTATTATATAAATGTTTATCTTGGTTACAGTGTTATCTATGACATTTGTTAACAGAGGTGGTTTTTTTTTCCCTAGGTTGATGTTCTATCTATCATTCCTGAACCCGAAGGTGTTGCTGGTTTAGAGGATTGTAGCTGGCCTGATGAGGTTCGTGATCCAGGTGTTGAAGTCATTATGGGAAAAATTCAGGAGGGTTGTGAATTCAACAGGGGAATGTTTGTAGGGGGACTCAGAGGTGCTGTTTTGCCCGTGGAGCCTCCTCCTCGCGTAGTTAACAAAGGTAAAAGGAAACTCCGGTCCAAGCAGGGTGGTGAGCCTTTGGTAAGAGGTGGGTCGTCTAGGGTCAAGAAAATGAAGGTTCGCAGTGGTAAGGGTAGGCATGCGCAGCCTGACCCTAATACCTCTCTCCTTGGTGCTCTTAAATACGAAATTGATGCTGGTCTGAAGGAGGCTCGTGGTGATGTTTATGCTCATGTTTGCGTTGATTTGAAAGAGATGGAGTTGAGGTTAGCGAGGAATATGAAACAAAGCATCTTCTCTGTTGTTGCTGAGGCTCTCAGTGCCCGGGATCTACTTAAAAATGTTGTTGATGGCGTTGGGGTAGGTAATCTTGACCCTTACAACCAGCCTCCCGCTAATGGTGCATCTACTTCATTCAATCATGCCAATGGTGCATCAAGCCCTGTCAATCCTGATAATGGTGCAGTTAATGCTGTACATTCTGTTGCTGGTACATCTAAACCTGACAATCCTGCAGCCCCCCCCCCCCCCCCCCCCCCGATTTGAATGTTGGCAGTGAAGAGGTATTACTCTGGTTGTTTGAGACTAGCATAATTAGTTTACTTGTTTATGACCTGTTTAATTTTTAAAAGGTTGGTGGTTCTTCCTCTGCGAGTAAGGCATCCAATCAGTCGGGAGCATCAGGAGGTAGTATTGATGGAGAGGGTGGTACTGTTTCTGAGGTGGTGGTTGATTCCGATGGTTGTCCGAGCTCTGAGAAGTTCAAAAAACTACTCGAGCTACTTGAGCCCAGATTGTAAGTCGCTAGTCTAAATTGCATATCAGTAATTTATTATTTTAGACTTGCATATTCTAGAGTAGATAGATACTTGTATACTTAGAATGAAATCTTTTCAGTTACTTTTCTCTGAATGATATGTAATTATTTACTTCTCCATGTTTTTGAATTTCATTTTGCCTAGTGATTTTGAGTATGATGGAGGGCTTGTTTTGAAGGAAACTGAGTTGCGGCTAGTCGCTAGTAGCATTCCACCTGAAAATCCGCAGGTTTACATCAGTATCAAGTTATATTACTACATCATTATTTTTTCTTTATTACAATTGTTGTTCTGTAGGTCATGGACGCGTGTGTCACTGTTATGAGGGAATCTATTTTCATTAACACTGATCCTGCCTCCGTCCCCAGAGCTGATATGCTGACTAGCCAGTTCCATGGTTCACTTGCTGTTATGTACTCTAAGTTCAAGAAGGTTAGGCGCAAGGAGAGTTTTGATTTTGATGCTGATCTATTGAGCTCTATAACTAGCAGATTTAACAGCACTGGAAGGCAGTGGTTGGTCAACATTGATTACCTGTACTCTCCCTTCAACATTGACAAGAACCGCTGGATTGCTGTTATGGTGGACATGCCCTCTCACTCCCTAACTGTTTTTGACTCTACTGCGAATGTTCGTCGTTGCTCTAGACTTAAACCTGAGCTTGAGTTTTTGTGTGAGATGTTTCCATATTTGGTTCGTAAGGTTGGTGCGAATGATGTTATGCTCAACTATCCTCTGACTCCTTTGTCCTTCACTCGCCACACGCGTGTCACCCAAGCCTCAGACCGTGCGAACACTGGTATGCTCTCCCTTCTTTTCATGGAGGCCCATGCAGTTGGAGGTTTTGAGAAAGTTTGTCAAGTTTCTGAGTCCGGTATTCGTCACCGTGCCGAGCAGTTAGCCGTTCAGTTGTACGAGCATTGTTGTGGTGACATTGAAGTTTGAAGTGAGCCTGTCTCTATTTCCATCTATTTTAGTTTTATGTTGAACAATTTGCGCTCTCCGGCTTATCTTTTGAATTTTTAGTTTGTACTAATAACTCTTATGCTTTTGCGGATTCTATTTCTGTTTGAACCTTTAGTCTACTTAACCATCGTTTCTAATATATAGTAATTGTCTAAGTTACAATTTACTTGCTAATTTAGCGTTAACATGATCTATATGCTGTCTAAGCTCACAAATAGATGTATATGTAGTATATTAGATATTATATTATGATTCATAGGTTTGCAAATATTGAAGTAGACAGTTAAATAAATGTATATTATATTATAATTTAGTTATTACAATTTATGGAGTGTTGTAGATGCGTATCTACCTATTATTATTTAGTTCCTCTTATAGGGATGGGTAGTCTATTGTTAGTTACTTCAATTAGATATCCATTTATAGTTATTTTTACGTAATTTATAAACTATCCTCCTATAGATCTAGATACCGGTGCACATGATATTTAAGACGACTAAATCAGGAATATGTAGTTAACTCGATTCATACATCCCAAGTAATATCATTTAATACAAGATACATAACGGATTAGGCATCTATATTATCATGTAATGGCTTACTTCAAGGCATGGATGACGGTCGCGAAGATACAAATAAATCCTATCCATGAAATTAGGAGTACTTCGCGGAGCGTTTGTTCCTTCTCCTTGCTTGTCTTCAAATCGCTTTCTAAAGCTTTCTTTTCCATCTCCAAGTCCTGCATTTTTTTCTGATATTCTATACTTACCTCACCGGCGTAGCTTTCGATTCCTTCAGCTTGAGTCTCCCTAAGTCTCTTAATTTCTGCATCTTGTGCTTTGATCAAGTCCCTTGCTTCCAAAAGTGCTTTTTTCTGCCATCCATGTGGCTTTTCAAGGTCTCTCCATCGGAAGTAGTTACATTCGCTTCTCCTACCCGCACCACATCTATAGAATCGTCGGCCTGGATTTGCGTCTGTCCATGCTTGGAAGATTAATGCCTGCGTCCCGCAGTCGCATTCGTAACCTCCCGCTGTCATCTCGTTGTCGAGCTCCTGAACCGTCGAGCTTGAGCCGCCTTCCGACACCGTAGTCAACTGTTGCCCTAACATTTTGCGTAGCGATGAGTTGTTGTGTTTTTTATTTTTGTTTTTTTTCCCGTAGCTGCTTCACCATATACCCTTTGATGGTGTGGTAAGGGTAAGTTTGGAGGCAGTGGTCCCCACGTTGAAAACGCGTCTTTGTGTTGTACGCTTCATAGCCTAATAGGTGTCCCCTACGCTGCCTAGTTCACTGTGTCCCTTTTAATATTGTTTTCTCACGGTTTTGTTCTTTGTTTTTTAAGTTTTATTCCAACGATACATTTATTTTTCTCTATAGACATCTAATGGGTTTCTAAGTTGTTTTCCATCGATACATTTATTTTGTAACTTTGAGGCATGTATGTCCACAATATGATATAATTATAAGAGATAGGAACCAAGATTAACCGGAAAGCATTAATATATTACAAAGCCAGATTGAATGGTGTGCGGACTCACAAGATCAACGCATTACACCATTCCTGGAATAGTTCAGGAATATATTACATAAGTAGGGAAGGTTCACCCACAGAAACACATATATTACATAATTTTCCCGTGGCATCTGTATCATACATTGAAAATGTTGCCACTTCTTGAATCCGTGAACATTAAACTTAAATCCGAAGAGCTGCTTTTATACATCCAAAAGGGGCAGCTGCATAAATCATAATTTTGTTAGGTGTATTTGTGACATAACGCTCTATATCTATTATTAGCAGTGCATTTTTATAATTATGCGTAAATATTACCAAAGGTTTTGCATAGCTAGGTTATATTGGCATCTTGCAGGAAGCGCGGTTATGCCCAGTCCCACGGCACCTGGTACAGCTCCGCTTCGTTGTCTTCTTCGGCCTCTGCATTGGTTGACAGTATGGGAGAAGAAGATTTAAACATCTAATATTTAAGTTAGGTATCTATATTACATTATATATCCAATAATACCTTAAATTCTCCAGTTGAAAGGTATCTAGTACGCTTTGGCCTACCTGGTGGCCTTCTTGTAAGTGGAGGAAGGACTGTCAATGTGGCAATTCCGTCTGGCACCTCGCGTAAAGTGCTTAAGTCGGGGACGGGATGGATACTGCCATTGTAAGCCAAACTCCAGAAGAAGCTACCGTACTGGGGAGCTGCCAACATTGGCACACTCATGTCACAACGTATCGCGGCTGCTATTGCGTGGCTGCAAGGAATCTGTAGCAAGTTGAACTCCTCGCAGGTGCATGTCCTTTTTTGTATATCCACAACGTATGATAGCCCTGTTGTGGTCTTTATCTCGTACTGCTCGTTGTTGATCTTTGCAACGTCGTAACATGTGGACCTTTCATAGTTCCTTTGAACAATTTCTTCCACCTTTGGTGTAAGTGGCTTCTCGTGTTGGGTTGCTTTTTCCCGACGCTTCTCAAACCAAGTCATTAGAGTACCTCTGATGTACTCTAGGGTAGACACTATTGGCAGCTCTCGTGCCTCCTTGAGGACTGCATTGAGTGACTCGGCGACGTTCGAAGTCATGATGTTGTACCTGTGACCATAGCAGTGTGACCTTGTCCAATGTTCTAAACCAATAGCCATCAAATATTCGGCGCATCCGGGGGATGCTCTCTCAATTTCCTCAAAGAACTCGTGAAATGTTGTCTTCTTGTATGCTCTAGCTGCCTTGGAAATAAGGCCAGCGAGCATTCTCTTCTTAAACTTTGTAGCCACATTCCTCTGTAGATGTACGATACATGCCCCATGGGTTGACCTCGGATATACCTACAAATATCAAATTGTTTTTGTGAATAGACATCCAATACGTAGGGTAAATAGTTAAATGCAAATCCCTTTCTATTACTAATATTACACCTCCATGTTAAAAGATAGACCTCCATACCTTCCCAAGCCCGGTGTATATCGAAGAATGCCTGTCCGAGACGAAAGTTAGATTTTCACCATCTGGAATTATCTTCTTGAGGCATGTGAAGAACCCGCATACTTACCTCTCAAATGCGCTCCGTCGATTATCACAACATTTCTCATGAACTTCCATCCTATTACGCTCGCTCCGAGTGCAACGAAACAGTACTTGAACCTTTGGTCGCCATCAATGTCCACCTCGGTGTGCAAATCGGTGACGGTTCCTACGTTTGCCCTTGACAACATGTGAAGGTAGCTGGGGAGGATACCGTAACTCCCATTTGGGGATCCTTTGGCCAAGTCCATGGCTAGCTCCCTTGAACGCCAAGCCTTCCAGTAGGAGACGTTTACACTATATTCTTCCATCAGAGCTCGCCTTATTGCCACCGGCGTCGGCCCTGCTCCGCTTCCTGCATACTTTGACTTCATGATTTGTGAAATCACCGATGTCGTAGCTTGGCGTGGGTATTGACTTCTTATCTCTACTAGACATGTATGTTCCAAATGGGCAGTTCTTATTTCAAAATACTCTGACTCGTCCAACCGCAAGCAGTACACCCTCCAGGGGCAAGCATCTGATACACATCGTACGATCACTACATCGTTAGTGGTGCGGTGATTACGGTAGCTGAACTTCCTGTTTATAGTGTGGACCGCGATTTTAACCCTGCAATCATCTCTGTTCTTGAATACGCGTCCCACAAACAGCTCGTCACCTTCGTAATCCACGTCCAACACGACAAGCCTTGTTCTTTCAGAACCTATAAAATCCGTTAACCATGTACTTCAGTATATAGCTACCCACATATACAAATACCTATTTATATAGTTGACGCAAATATTTGAATATTTCAACATAAAGGTTACCGTCTGCCTCGTTGTCGTCTAACACAGGGGCTGCGTCTCTCGCGAAAGTGTGTTCAGGTAGGCTCAACATCCTTAACATTCTTGATATCGGGGGAGCCCCATGGTGGTCAACTGCGATCCGGATTTAAATTCTATTATTATTCAATGTCTACCTTTATAATTTAAAGCAAGTTTGTATAAGAGTTTCTACCATTGATGCGTTCTGGTGCTTCTCTCTGAGTTGCTGCTCCGTTTTGTTGCTCCGAGTTATCGCCGATATCCCCGCTGGATCCGTCAGCAGCTATTGCTAAATAACCAGTTAGATATCTATTTTTATTTTTTCATGCTCTTACGTAAATGCTTTTCCCGACAAGCTTTTACCTCTTTCAAAATCAGAGAACAGATCTCTGGTTAATCGTGTTACCCTGTTATCGTCGGTTGAAGAGCTGGTTTGGGGTTCGAGGACACTGACCGGTGAACCTTGGTGTTGTGGAGCCGCAGTTATGGTCTTGTAATGCCTCAGAGCTGCTGAAAGTGTAGCGTAACCGCTGCTTGCGTAGGAATTTCCTATCCACCCAAGCTGCCCGTCGTCACTGTCCCCAACGTGTTCCCTTGGAACTTGGGAACATATGATGTTATCACCGGCTTCTTTGTCAAGACGCCGCCTTTGTTCTTTCTCTAACTCCTCCTTACTCATAATCTCCGCAAACGAGAACTCGTCCATCAGAGGGACCACTTTGAACCCATCGATTTCCAGAGTCATGTTCAACGGCATGGGAACCACGTAGAGCTTCATCTCGTTGATATCTACCCGCATAGCTAGAAACATGTCCATGTCGTCGTCGGATACAATGTGAATAGGGACAGGCTTCACAGATCCGTCGACGTCCATCCATTCGGGCATCTCATACGTTAGTTCGACCTTCTCCATGCTTGTGTTGATGCTAAACTCTTCAATAACCTTCGTCTTTGCTGCTTCAACACCGTCTCCCTCTCTGAAGCGAATGTACCTCCCCATCTGGCCCTCCGACCCTGAGAATCTCCACACTCCTTGTTCATCTTTTGCCCATCCCCCAAGGTTAACCCGAACCATGTTGGTAATTAGTTCGTCGGTAACTTCCATCTGAGAACCTGTTCAAAAAAAAAACAAATCGACGTCAGAGGAAGTCAACATGTTCAGTATTCATCAGATCTAAGTGATTAAGTACCTTACTTAGATCTCTACACAGATTAGTACAGTCGTCACTCTAGTTGTAGCTTTTATGATTTCTTTTTTTTAGTTTCTGGCTTGCAGATTTTGCGTTGCAGTTCCACCCCTATTTATTGGGGGTCCAATCGTTTAGGGTAGTTGTTCAAATTTCAAAATCCCCTCAAACGATTCGTAATAGTTTCGGACAAAAAAATATCGGAGACATTCTGCAGGTTGCATTTAATGGACGTCGCCTCCTTCCTTCTGTCGCCGCGTAACCGTCACGTCCCTCAGAGAGATGTTTCGTCCTTTTTTGGCAACAAAAGTCAACAACGTTATCCCACTCGCATGGATACGTAAGCCACTGGTATTTTCGTTATTTATGCAAATGAGAGGGCGAGAAGTGAAGCTAATTTTTCGTTACTTGAAGACACAGCAGCCATTTATCTCTGCGCCAATTTGGGTGTCTGTTTTTACCTCTGAGCTAACTCTCCCAAAAATAATAGTATTGCTATATATATATAATATATACGGACACATGCATGTTCAAACTACTTTGCTTTCGTTTATGGGTTATCTACTAAAGAACTAATCCTCTTTTAATTTAATTGATGAAGTAATCTTAACTACAACTATGTTTAGTTTAACTTATGTTAGGTAAGATTAAAAAGGGATATGGATTTCACTTGTTTTTCTATTGTTGATAACTCATACTCAATTGCCCATAAAAACTATAAGACCTTGCTTATAAAGGATATGGTTTTTGAAGTATTTTTTGGCTTTAGTTTTTCCAATCAAAAATCAATTGTGTACAAATTTCTGGAAATTTGTTTTTCCTCAAAGAGTAGGAAATTTGAGTGGTTAAAAAAAAAAATCGAAGAAAAACCACAGTCCATTCCATTCCATATTTCAACATAAAAACACAACTAAATAAACTACCATTCAAGTTTATAAAAAAACTAAAATCTACACCATCAAAAAAAAAACATAAATCATAAACCATTTTATAAACCAGAAACATTCATGGCAAAAAAATTTCTTTTCTTTTAACGTTATCATATTATTTTTGATACATAAATTAACACATTTTTCTTTTCTTTTATCAGTCGTTTATTGATAAATTAACACAACTCAATCAATATTTACATTAAATTAAATTTTTTAAAGAAATATTATAAATTTTCTTTGGGTTTGAATTTGATGATAAAATATTTGGACAAAACTAATGAAAATATTTAGAGACATGTAAACTATATGAATGTAATTATGAAGAATGAAACCGTGATGAGCACGCAATGTTACATCAAGATAAAGACTCCCAGGTTTCACTCAAGATCTTACTATGGTTGATGTATGTTAAACTGTGGTTAGATTGCTTTTGGACCACAGATAGAGGAAACGGCTACTCATGCCAGCAAGGCTTCCGTACCCGTTTGTCCTCTGGTGCATTCAAATGATAAAGGAGTCTTTGTCCTCTTATGCACGCGGTTTCTCTTGATGAGGTGTCTTGCGACAAATCGGAGGAGCGTCTGCTTTAGGTCACAGGGTTGGTTTCTTGTATTTGCTATAAAAGGAACACTTAAGATAGAGAGAGGTTTTTAAGGTTGTTTTCAGTGATACAGAGAGTAAGAGAGAAAACTTGTATTTGCTTAAACTTATTCATAGTTTTCTCTAGGGTTTAGGAACAGATAGAGTGAGCATCAAGTGCTGGTGAAGGGCATTGGTGCGGGTCTTCCTATTGTAATCTGTGTGTGTGTTTGAAACTAGTGGATTCCGAGTACAATACTCGGCCGTAGCTACCCTTTGGGAGTGAACTGGGTTACCAAAGTTCTCGTGTTTGCTCTGGTTTCTTTCTGTTTTCAAAGTCTTTAAAACACTACAAAGCAAAGCTCTGCTCTTTCCTCTGTTTTTGACACACAAACTTGGCTCCGCTTCTCTGTTCTTGGTTTGTTTGAATTTCTCTCAAGGAAAGTCGACACCTTTGAGGCAAGAAATCCTTACAGTAATGGTAAAACATTTTAAAACGAACACTTGACTTTAGCGTGACGAGAATCTTGGCATTGGTGCACAGATCTCTGAACTCCTCAGACATTGACCTCTGACTATCTATGGTCTTCTTCTACACTATGATGTTACGTACTCACAACTCTGCGAAGGATCTTAGTAATGTAAACGCAAAAGAAGTTGAAACCAAAGCCATAAAGGCAGAACATTAACTGTCTTCTTTTTTTCTTCTTTTCTTAATAACATCCTCTGAAACAATCGCAAGAAGAAAACATGCGATGTTCTGGTCTAAAGAATATAAGAATTAAGGATCAAAACTTTTCTTATTGATCTAACCAAGGATGATGGTCCATGGAATTCACCTTTTCTGTGAAAGAGAAGTTGTTCCGATCACAAGAATATTTCCTTAAGGATTAAGAGTAGCAGCATGATGAAACAGAGGATGACAAGGACAGATGCGCACTTCACCATCCCTCCATGTCTCTGCGTTCGCTCTGCCTGTAAAGTTTTATGCGATCCACTTTATTTTGAATTGGGACAAACAAATAACTGGACATTGCTGTTGAAGAGAGTACACTACTATACCTTCTGCAGTTGTTTGAGGCCATCTTCAACGGTAGTAGCGACGTTTTCGATATTATAGTCTATCCGATCAACTATTGTACCCTGCAACGAAACAGGTTGCTGTGAGTTTTTTTCGGAAGGGAGAAGACTCAGAAGCTAGAGAAAGAGAATATGGGTTTAAATAAGTTTTACCTGATCTATCACAAGTGCAGAAAGATCCTTCATGATTTGAGCAAGATCGTTTACTGATTCTACAACCTGGACAATGACACCGAACAAGAAGAACAAAAAAGATTATGATTGATTAGAAAAGAAAAAAAAAACATTGGTGAGCTACAAACAACTAAGAACATAGACAAAGTGCAAGCACTTGCCTGTTGTATCTCTTTCTCCCTCTCTACCGATACTTCCTCGCTCTTTTTTATCTTGGACATCTGATGCTCATTTAACTAAAAAGAATTCGAGAATAAATTTTCATCAATAAAGAAGTACATAAGATGAATGATGGATATAAATCGAAAGAATGAAACAGATATAGGAGTCAAACCATATCGCCAAAGTCATCCTCTTCAGGTCTATATCTGTTTCTGCTCAGATTCATCTCTAAATCCACCCCATCCTGATAAATGATCATACATTTCAAGTCAAAGCTTCTTGAGAGGACAGAATAATATAATTTCCAGAATTGTAACAAACAAGTATTAAAAGAATCTATCATCTATGAGATCCATGTCAACAAGTTTTATTACGGTGCAGCACCAAACACAAACAAAAACTTCGACAAACGATAAACTGCAACATCACAAAGTTTCTGGCATCACAATTGACCAGAACGATAATAGCTACTTTTAAAGAGCTACTAGCTTCATACCTCTTTTTGCTGTCTCAAGCGTTTCAAATATGTTGACTGTTTTTTGCGGAGCTCCATAGAAAGAAGTTGGAGGTCAGTGGCAAGAGACCGCTGTTATAAAACACATAGGATAAAGCTCAGATAAAGAAAGGAAATGTGTTTAAGAGATGTAATGAGCAGCTCCCATCAAGTCAAAACTACCTGCACATTCTTCCTAACATTCGAATCTTCAGAAGGCCCAGCCGCAGAAAGCCTCTGAAGTTGCTTCTCAGACTTCTTCAATAGAAAAGTTATCTCCTGTGTCAAAGACTCAATATTATGTTGATCTTCTTTACCATCCCCAAACGATGGCATTAACGCCTTAGCATGAGCCTTTCCCAACTCCGCCATTTTAGTCCTTGCTCGCTGTATGTTCACCGATATCTCCTCAGATACATCAACCCAAGCTGGTGGTAATCCCACTGTTATCGCACCTTTACTGAAACAACGAAGAAAGAAATCTCCGGTAACTACAAACTTTCAGCATAACATCATACTGCTTCATCTCTATTATCATTCTCATTGCTAATCATTTCCATTTATCCAAAAACTATCTTCTTGAGCTATACAATTTACCCTAATTGATCAATTTCTTCAACATTCTCACTGATAAAGAAGAAGAAGAGTACCTAGAAGTTCCAGGATCTTCGGTACTAACGGGAGCGTAAGAGCGATTCGGATTCAATAACGAAGTAGTCGCCATTTCGATAACCGGACCAACGCCGCCGGATCGTGTTCCCGTCAATGAAGATGACGACAATGGAGCTCTGACGCTCCTCAGAGAGTTTCTGTACTTCCTAAACAGCAACGTACGATTCCTCGTCGCCATGATCGTCGAAAATTTCACATCCAAATTCGAAATCTGCTCCGATTTGAAGCTATAGATCTGAACACGATCGCGGCTTCATCATCGGCCGAGAATAAAGACAACACGAATTGTGGCGCCAAAATTGAAACACCGACCAAGGAGTGCTCGGAAACCGGCGAGATCAAAAACTTTTCCGATGAGGTTTTTTCACTATTATTTTCCCAAAATTAAAAATAAATTAAAAAACCTTTGAAACAGTAAAAAAGCTGTTGCGCGGCTAAGTAAACCAATAATATTTAGACACGTAAGTGTACTACTAACAGCATGACGTTTTGATATTCCAAAAGGGAAAAACACGGCGGGTAAAAGGATTAAACGGCATGCATTCGTGTGGGCTGTTGAAAGCGAGGGATTATCAATTAATTAAAAACAAATTAATACATGTAATAAAACTCATCTCCTATGTCCTCTCACTCTCTCTCTATCCAAAGAATTAAAAAACAAACAAAGCCATAAAAAAAAAAAAGACAAAGACAAATTCCAGAAAAAACGACGCAGAATCGTCGTCGTTGTCTTCGTCTTTGCTTTTCGCCGGAATCTTTTGTTTCTTGAATCGGAATATCCTCTGTTTATTTTTTATCCGGACTCAAGATCAATTAATTTATTGATCTGATTCTTGAATTTATTTGATTTTTATTGTTGTTGAAAAGTGGATTCTTTGGTTTCGATTTATAATAGTTTTTGTGGAAAAAAATGGATTCTGATTCTTGGAGTGATCGTCTCGCATCGGCTTCAAGGAGATATCAGCTCGATTTCTTGTCTCGATCTGGTGAGTTGAAAAAGAAAATAATTTGGATTTGTTCTTTGCTAATAATCTTGATTTGAGATTTGATTTAATGTATCTTGATTCTAATGCAAAAATCGTCAATTTGTTTTTCTTTTAATTGATCAAGGATCGAGGTTGAATGAAAGAGATTTGACATTTTTGTTACTGTTCTGATTTTCCGACAAAATGGGACAAGACATGATTGTGTCTTGGTCTGAATGTTCAATGTTTGTTTTGCTGATATTGAATTGGAGGAAAATGGAAAAAAGTTTTTGTCTTTGAGGCATTTTTTACTCATGTGAGGCTTTAGGGATTTGATTAAACGTGTGTGTTTTGTTTATACGAAGATTTTGTTTTTAGGTTTAGGTATGAACTTGTCAAAAGTTGGAATCTTGATGATTCTTGTTTGACCAACAAGAAAATACAAAACCTTTTGATGGTAAAACGTTTTCGAAGCTTAGTTTCATCTTTGCCAAGGAAGGTTTTATAATCTACTAGTTTCTATTCGTTTATGATATCTTTATGTTCCTTATTAAACTCATTTGTATTGGAACTGCGAGAATGGAACGCGTTTTTAGTAGTCCCATTTATTTTCCTTGGCTTTGTTTTGTAGCTGTAGCGTTTCGGAATGTTCTCTTGGCGTTGTAGTTTTGCGGTGTTTGACTAGTTTCTTCATTTGTAAAAACGCAGACAATTTCCTGGGGTTTGAGGAGATAGAAGGAGAAGATGACTTCAGAGAGGAGTATGCTTGTCCGTTCTGCTCGGACTATTTTGATATCGTGTCTCTATGCTGCCACATTGATGAAGATCATCCTGTGGACGGAAAAAATGGGGTAAATATGCCCTTAATATGATTCAGTATTCAACCTTTTTCTCATTTTGATTCAAAATCTTTTTATTGTTTCATCACTTGATTCTTGGTAGATTTGGCGTAGCACTGTTCTTTGTTTAGTGGTTGCTCGTATTGGATATAAGAAAGTGAAAGTATCCTAATGAAATGCGTTGGAATAGGATTGAAATTACCACTCAGGGTTCCTTAGAGAAGAAATCAACTATAGGACACTTGTTTATTGCTACAATAGCAAGATTTTTTTTCGAATCTGCGTTTATTTATATCCTGGAGATTGACATTGTTAATCTTGTAGGTGTGTCCCGTTTGTGCGGTGAAAGTGAGCTCTGATATGATTGCTCATATAACCCTACAACATGCAAATATGTTCAAGATATCCTTTTTTTTTTTTCCTTCAACCAGTTTATATTTTAAAAGTATCATTTAATTATGTGATTCCTCAAAAGAGTGTTTTCATTCCTTGACTAAATATTACGTGACGCGAAAAAGGAAATCAAGAAGAGGCGGGGCTCAATCCATGCTATCGATCTTGAAGAGAGAGTTTCCTGATGGAAATTTTCAGAGCCTATTTGAAGGAACATCGCGTGCTGTATCCTCTTCTTCTGCCAGTATAGCTGCTGATCCGTTGCTGTCTTCGTTCATTTCACCAATGACTGATGACTTTTTCATTTCTGAGTCAAGTCTATCTGCAGAAACAAGTTCTGCCAAGAAAACATTGCCTGAAAGGTATGCTTCCTCATTCATTCTCATTTGGATTAGAGATCTGGATACGTCATTGCATTGCCATTTCTTGATCATTCTTGTTAGTTGATCTTACATTTTTGGGTACTCAGTCATTGCATATTACTCATCCTTAGTTCTTATGAGGCTTCATGGAATTTAGTTGATCCCTTGTTTTACTAATACCCTAAAGCTCTTGTGATCTGAGTTTTTTTGGTTTGGTAAAATACAAAATGCAGACTGTGCTCTGATGATTCTTGTCTTGACCACAGGAATGTTGAAAAGCAGTCACTTTCAGCAGAGGATCACAGAGAAAAGTTGAAACAGAGCGAGTTTGTTCAAGGGATTTTGAGCTCTATGATTCTTGAAGACGGCTTATAAAGGAGAAATAATCCGGTAACTTCTCTACGATTAGATCATTCAACGATTGGAAAATGTAACGGCTTTGTTGTGTTATCACAACAAGTGAATTGGGAAAGGGTTTGGGAATAAGCAGAATAATGTAAAAGAGAGACATGATAATGAGTATTATTAACTTATGAACACATATTTGCTCTAATGAACACTCGAACTGTCTGTAGACTTATAGGTCTTAGAAAAACCAAAAAAAATGTATGTATTTGATCATATATTTGCAACGACTTTTCTGTTCTTACTTATGGTGTTTTTGTATTGAAGTTTGATGAAACTGTTTGGGTTTAGAAATATCACAAACGAATTACATGTAAACATTGTTACGAATTTGGATGAAACCTTAAAAACAAATATTGAACTAAGAATTATAGAGCTTTGCCCCAAAGGGAGCTCTTCCAGAAATTCTCAAAGGCCCAAGACAAGCTTAGGCCTAGGAGGGGGTTTGGAAATAGTTTTCAACCAGCAATAGACGCGCCTCGGTTAAGACCTCATTAGCTGCGTCATTGCCCCAAGCGCAAGGATGGGTTTGGAAAGCTGGAGAGCTTCTTTATTTATAGCAAAACAGAACCTATCAAACTGATATATTCTTCCGATGTGGGACTTTTTTTGTGTACATATAATGAAAATACTTTCTTTGTGGGATTAGGAAAAAAGATCCCTAGCTACACGAAATATGCTACAATACATGGCCACACATCCGAAGTTTAAAAATGTATCCCTAACTACACAAACTATATGTATCGCATGCCCACATATACGAACTATATGTAGTCATGTCGCCAACATCACAAACATTTTTTTCCGGTACACTTTTCGCCGGAATCCGGCATTGACCAGTTTGACCGGCGTTGACCAACATAAATATTCAAAAAAAAAAAGAAATTTTTAGTTTTTAAATTTTTTTATGTAAAATTATTTAAAAATTTATTTACAATATTATATAAATTTTATAATTAAAA